GTCCCACATCTAATCGATGTGGGACTAAACTCTTTTTTTTATTCTTCTTTTTTTTTTCCCACATTCACACATAATTTTTATACATATACATATATATATATATATATATATTTTAAATCTTAAAATTATATCTTAACTAAATATTTTTTATGTAATTTTAAACTTAAGTTTTTAATTCATAATTAAATACCTAACCATATTATTATTTTCAAATAACTTCAAATAATATAAATTCCTATTATTATCATCATTTTTTAATAAAACTTAAATTTTATAAATTTTTTTATCTAAAAATTAGGATGTTACAGTATTGATAGGTCATATCCCTTTGCAATTGATAAGAAGGTCATCTTGAAATTATCATTGATAAGGAGCTAAATATATCTTGGGCTGTGTTATTAATGTTGTGAATTTATTATTTATATTTTATCCCATTTTATTTTATTTTAATTTATATGCATTAATTTGTATCTCCTTCTGCCAATAAGTTTCTTAGTAATCTGTACATTGAATCTAAAGAAGATCAATTTAAATTTTTGTATCTAGCTTCTATAACATCAACTCACAATGATACCCATGATTGGAAGAGATATGTGTGTAATACCATTTCAGAAAGAAAATTACCATGTTAACTGGCCTTAGTTTTTGAAAGACAAGTTGTTTATATTTATGCGAGTGCACGCACACACACATATTCATTTTGGTAATATTTTTCTTGTTTTCATACACTGATTATATTTCTTATATGTTGTAGTTATCACTGGTCTTTTTGTGTTATCTGCTCGTATTTGCACAAGATTTATTAGTTTTGCTTCATGAACAAGCAATCTAGTATTGAAACTAAAGATATATTTAATACGTAAGTTAAGGTTATTTTTATAAACGTTATTTTTTATATATTTAAATAGTTTTAATATCTTATTTTTTAATTTAAATTTCATTATGATTCACTAAAGATATATTAGATAATGGGAGGACATTGCTGCCCACTAAAAAGTAGAACAAAAAAATGGCCTGCTGACTTAGATATTCTCTAAAATGAGTAATTTTTATTTATCCTTCTTCATCCACAATCCTCCTATATGTGCTTTTGTTTATGCTTATTATTTAATTTTTATTTGTAGAGTGCTATTGACAGATAGAGATTACAAAATGTGGATATTATATTACCTGTAATACGTACGAAATTATTCAATCCAGTACTAATGAGAATTTACACTTGGTATGTAGTTAATCTCAATAAAATTTAGAGAGGGAGTATTGAGACTTTGAAATTTTAATAGATATAATGAAAATCTTATAAAAAATTACAATTTTTTTTGGAAATGAGTACACCTACATCGGTAAATAGATAAATGGCATTCGAAATAATTTGACAAGTCAATTTCATTAAGAGCTACTTACATAGTTTTGATTTTATAGTTTGTTCAGTTAGGATTTTAGCTTAATTTATAAATAAGTTAGATGGCTAGAAACCCTGCTTGGTATATTACTGTAGTTTGTTAGACCTTGATTATAAATATTAAACACTTAAATGAATAATGATTTTGGTGTCTCTTTGGTCTCTATATGTTTATGTTATTGCCTATTTTTATTTGTTGAACATATTAATTGTATATGTTGGGCTGTTGTTATTATAAAAATTTACAAATCTAATTAGCTGTAAAGAAAAATATTGATTAACTATTTAAAAAAATTAAATAAATAACATCACTTACATAAAAATGGATGTGATTTATATTAATCACGTCACTTTTATAGGTAAAAGTGACTTGGTTTTTTTAAAAACTATATTCTTTTTTTCACAAAAAGAGAGATAATTTATTGAGAAACCACATTCATTTTTTTTTAAAAAAAAGAGACATGGTTTTTTATAAAACCACATCCCTTTTAAACCATGTATCTTTTTTGAAAAAAAGGATGTCTTTTTTATTATCCACATCTCTTTTAAAAATGATGCAGATGTGCTAACTTTTTATTTTGTCTTGACTATGTCTCTCACCATGAGGATGTAAATATTTTTAAAAAAATAATATAAAAAACTTTTTTTGTAATAGTGTAAATCTAGTTATTGAGTATTAGGCATCATTTCACCCAGCGAAGAGTGAAGATTTTTTTTTTTTTAACAATGCCATGACTGGAAGATTGTCTACCAAACCTCTACCCTTAAAAAGGATTGTTTATATTATTAAACGTCATCGCAATTACTAAAAGTTTCTGTTACAAACGGAGATGGAGATCGGACGAAATTTAAGGGGGGCCATCATGCAAAACTCCATAATAGTGAAGCTAAAATTAATTTTAACATTTTTAATAAATAAAAATAAAGTAAATTTAACAAATAGTTTTGCACCTGAGGATAAGCATCCCTCCTGGCGCCCCTCTGAATCTGTCCCTGTCTATAATTTAATTTATTATTATTTTTTTTTTTTACAAATCCGACGAGTATCAAAATAGTATATTGTTTCATTGTTTGTGTTAAGCGTAATAATCATAAGTCGTATAGATACACATAAACACAAGCCCACATGCACACAAAATTTGCTCAAAATTGAGAAAAGATTTTTTAACCAACTGAATAATTCATCACAATATTTAAGAGAAGACTTTGAAAGCGGTATTTTTCGTAGTTTTCACAATATTAATACGCTAAGCGCTGAAAACGTATACTTGCCTTGCATTTTCTTATATATAAAATTATGTAATTTTATCCCGACAATATTAATCTTATTGTGTTGTGAATTAATATAATTGTGAATTGTAAAAAATATCAAAACACCTCTTTACAGTAAGTTATGCTATGTTTGAAAACTGATTAGAGACGGGCATTATTGTTAAACTTTTGAGTAAACTCTTTAAATTTATTATTTTTATATTTAGTTCACAAAATTATGTTAACTTATTTATAAATTTAAATTAGATAAAGCTTAATTAAACTTGCGAGTTAACTTTCTAAATTCATCATTTTTATATTTTTAATTTATAAAATTGTGTCAATCCATTCATAAATTCATTGAGCAAGATATGTATATATTATATAAAATTTTATTTATAAAAGTGGTAGGATAGTGGCAGAGCTACATTGTAGTGAGGGTAGGCGAATGCGCCCCTTGATTTGAAAAAAATTACAAGTATAGAAATGTGAATTTTACAACTTTACACTCCCTACTTTTAATATTTTGCACCCTTTCGATTCAATAAAAAATGTTTGAGTTAAAAAAATTATTAGATATGTAATATTTTAATAATCGATGTCAATATAAAGAGCATATTTACATAGAAAGACAATATTATCATGTTTACTATAATTTTTTTAAAAATGATAATCAATCTATTTATTTATATTATTACAATTTTAGTTTTAACATAATTATTATTTTTAATTATCTTGCACTCCGTGATTTCGGGTACTAGCTCCGCCGTAGGACCCAATTCAATAAAAAAATAAAATAAAAAATAAAAAATTATATTGATAAAAAATGAAAAATGTCAAAAATAAATTGCATTATTTTAAAATTTTTATGTTAAATATAATAATTTATGAATACAGATGGATTTAATTTTAAAGATTTATATTTAAAATATATTTTAAAATTAAATTATAATCATATTTTATATTTAAATTATTTAATCACCTGCTTTTATAAGTTATTTATTAATAAATGTAAACTCTTATAAATTTATAATTTAAGTTTATATTTTAAATTTATATTTTTATCACAAATTTACTTAAATTTATGAGCTTTAACAACCTGGGAGATAAGCTTTTATAATTTTCGAGTCATATCTCTCTCTTCTTATATTATGTTGATCAAAACTAACAAATTTCCATACGTATAGGAAGCGAATTTTGATTATAGAAATCAAAATAACATTCACCATCGTCATTATACACTCATTCCAAATCGCATATAAGAAAAATAGAGAGAATATTTTCTAAGCAAATTATGAACTATTAAAGATGCACTTAATTGCATAGAAATATAAAATTTAAAGTAAACGTTATGCACGCATGATACACTTATGATACACTTTCTCTAATTTAATTTAATGTTATTATATTTTAGAATTTAATTAATTAATTATAACATCAAATTATGATTATTATTGACATTATGATGTTCATTCTCATTAAATTATTTTGCACATAAAATTAAAATTAATTTTAGATAAATATTAAATACAACTATATTAAAATTAAATGCAACCTATCAAGTTTAATATAAAATAAAATTATTTGTCAATCCGACGTAACCCGTCTAATTTTATAAAATTTATAAAAATAGTATTAATAAATTATCTTTAATCTCCATACGGTGACGAATATATGAGAATTAACAATGTTTAAATTTTAATTTCAATTTAAATAAAAAGTTGAATGCTTATTATTATACGTAGGGTAAGAAGATGTCTCAACCGAACCGTACGTAGAAGAAGCACAACAGAGACGAAGGGTAATTATCACGGTGAAGTGATTTGCAGACTTGTGCCATGACTATCATCGTACGGCAATACAAAATGAAAAGCCATAAAAAGGAGCAGGTTTTTCTGTCTCAATCTGAATTAATAATTAACAATTAATTAACCAAGGAATAAATTCCAAATTCTAATTATATTCTAAGAGTCAATAATACAAGATCTAGATTCAGTAATTATATTTAAAATAAATATTGAATGTTTACTATTTAAATCATTAAAATTTTAATTAATAATATTAATTTATTCTCTACATAAGTAATAAATTTATTTAAATTATTAATTTAAAATTTAATGATTTAAATAATAGAAGCACTAGGTAGGCTTGTTTCTCTTGAAATCTCTCAACTATTTTTAGCTCAAGTGGAGAATGATGGAAAAACAAGATATGCCATTAGGTGGAAAAGTTCCATCGTCTTAGCTATAAAAGGGAATCCTCGCTTTCCTTTCTTGAACACCAATCATCCATCTATTCCAAGGTTCTCTCTCCATTTCTTCCTTTTCTGTCTTCATTATCTTTATTGTCTTCTCACTTCTTCTGCTGTCTCTCATTTTCTTCCTCTGATTTTCCCAAAACATTTTCTATCTTTCCTTCGATTTTGTTTCCTCCTCCTTTTTCCATTCTGGTTCCACTCATATGAAGCAGCATCCATTCGGATCGAAACGGAAAAATCCAAACCTTCCGATCCAAAGTTTCATGCTCGCAGCTTAGCTAGGCTAATGAGCTTTCGCTATGGCATAGCTTTATTTCTGGGTCGACTAATATACCCATATCTGAAACCTTGGCGTTTCGCTAGGGTTTTCGCCTGTGACTTGCCTTTGACTTGACTTTTTCAATTTTTCGGAGATAAGCTTTCCCTTTTTTTTAAAAAAAAAAATTTCCGAGTCACGTGCCATCGTCTCGGTATTTCATGTGAGGTCATAAATCTGGGGATGTAAAGTGAAGAACAGGTTTGATTTGTATTCGTTTTGTTCCTTACAGAGAGAAATCAAGATGGCGAGAGAGAAGATCAAGATCAAGAAAATTGACAACGTGACGGCGAGGCAGGTGACTTTCTCTAAGAGAAGACGAGGGCTCTTCAAGAAAGCCTCGGAGCTTGCGGTTCTATGTGATGCTGAGGTTGGTCTCATTGTCTTCTCATCCACCGGCAAGCTCTTCGAATTCTGCAACTCCAGGTACTTACTGCACTGTTTTTATTCCCTCGTCTCACAAACCACTTTGCCTCCTCCATATTTTGCCTTGCCATGTTCACTTCTCTGAAAATTATATACTCCACAAACATGTGCTTCCGGCTCAGTTTCTATTTCTGTGTCTGGTGATGCCTCTGAACAAAAATCCTCCTACCCCACGCTTCTCTTTCTTGATGTTATGGAAATTCGCGGTTTGATTTGGTAGCTAGCTTTTGGTTGGATAGCATTTAATTAGTAGTAATTAGTAAAGAAAACAAGTTTACTCTTCGAGGGAACAGTACTGTATACATATAGTAGTAGGGTAAGCAAAACCCAATCCAATCAAATTTGATCTATTTGATTTATACAATTCAATTCGATTTTCTTTTAATAAAAAATTGAATTGATAGATTCGATTTAGTTTGAAAATTATTGAACTAAATAAACCGAAACCTATTTCTTTTTATATTTTTGGAAAGCTGAATAAATTTTCATGCAGGTGAGTAAGAAATATCTTTTTAACATTTGCAGTAGTAGTATTTTTTTTTTTTGGTTTAATGTGATGTTTTGTTTTGGCATAAGATTGTTATTTTTTTGTTGAGTTTTCAACATCAAGGGAAAAAAAATGAATAGAAGAATATATAAATAATTAGATTTTATAAAGTAAAATTAAAGTTTATGAACTGAATAGATCAATTGAACTGAATCATTATAATTTGATTTAATCAAGTATTTCAATTTGATTTGATCTAAATTTTTCGTACAATTCGGTCGATTGGTTTTGAAAAAATTGAAACCAAACTGACCAAATCGACTAAATCCTCACCCCTAGATGTTTACACAGATTAATTGTGCGTGGATTTAAAATTAACCAACTTGCTGTTTAGAAACCCAATAAGTCATTTGTTCCTTTTTTCTAGGCTCTATGCCGATACAAAAAATTCAGACCACAGTCTTTCACATTACGGACTGGTAAATATCGAAGTGCTTCCGAACATATATGCTATTTCGGTTCTGATGTTTTAAATAAATATTAATCAAGTGGCATCATACCTTACTCACTGACCCACATATATACTGTTGTACGTTTACTTTCTTTTCTAGCTAGCTAGGCTCAAGTGTCTATTAATTTCACTAAATTAAACCTTTGATTTAGCTACACCTACATCGTAAGGCTCAGTTTATATTTAACTAAACCCATCGTAGAATCCAGTTTTTTTCAGCATGATACAGCTGGTTCTATTCTGGTTTGCCATATCTTCCTTTTCCCCTTCTCGTTAGATAATAATATTCACTATTGTCTAAGGAATTTGGAATGTGTAGCATATATATGTACATTTTTCCAAAATAGTCCCAACTTAGGTAAACTGTAACTGGAGTTTAATACAATCCCGACCTTGGAGATATTTATATGTTTAAATTAGTTCTGGTATAATTATGCTGACTAAATGTTTTCTGTTGAATTCTTTATAATTATATTGGTTAGATGTTTTTTTGGTAATAGATTATATTGGCTATCTTTAATGGAGACAAATGCTTAGGAATTTGAATAAACAAGGGAAAATCACAATCAAGGACCACTGGACATAATTAGTTGCTCTGCACGACCAAATAATTATGATATTGCTCTATAGGACTAAAAGACCTACATGTAATTAAAATTTGTTGTGAAAAGACAAGACTACCCTTTATATATATTTATTGTGATGGGGGAATTGATTCTTGTTGAAATGGAAATGAGACTACCCCTTATATATATGTATATATTTTTTTTTTCCTCTCGAATGAAAACTTATTCACTAGATTACAATAATTCCTGTCTACCAAGTTAATATTTTAAAGTTGTTAATGAAGGAATTGATTGTTGTTAGAGACTTGTTTACCAAATTACAATACTTGTTTGCCTTCACTACTAGATTAATTTTTTGGAGTTGTTAATAACAAAATTAATTGTTGTTAAAATTGAAATAGGACTTGATTTTGCCAAATGGGAATTTATTCACCAAATTATAACACTCGATCTTCTCCACCACCAAGTTAATTTTTTAAAGTTGTTAATAAGAAAATTGATTATTGTTAAAATGAAAATAAGACTTTTTTTTTCCTCGAACGGGGACTTGTTAAAGGAGCATATATACCGTAAAGGGTAATTTTATCTTTTCACAATAAATTTTAATTACATTTAAGTCTTTTAATCCTAGAATAATATCAGAATTATTTGGTCCTACGGAACAATTAATTGTGTTTAGTGGTCCTTGATTGTGATTTTTCCATTAAGCAAGTGCTTTGGAATATATTATGGCTGCACAAGTCAATCGATTGCTCATGGTTGAATAATTAATTGATTTTATAAGAAAATAAAGTGCATCTTGTGTCTTGAAGCTGAGATCTCTCATTTCAATTAAAGGCTTTCTTATAAAACTATGCTTGCGAATGTTGATCATAACTTAAACCTATAATGAAAATTTATGGATGATCACATGACGTCATATATAGGCAAGCCTAGGAAAATTAGTACTGAAATTATTTGTAGTTTATCGCTAGTGACTTATGATTTCTGCCTCTTGCTAAGTAAAAACCCTTGAATTATTGGCGAAAGTGAAACAATGCACTTCTTCTCTATTCAAATGCTTCTGAAGGTGCTTCTGAAGGCGAAAACATAGGTTGCTTAAAAAATGGGTTTAATGATAAAACTAATCTAATTCATTAAACGAGCTCGTGACACATCACCTTTCTCGGAGGGAAGTTATTTTGCTGCTATTGGAAGATTCATGAATCTAAAGCTGGCGTCATTAATATGAATAAGGACCACCTATGTGAATGATGATAAGAAAACTAATAATAAAGCCGAAACTAGTTTTTAGTTGGTCTACAACGAAAGTTGAAGCCAGTTTTATCATCTTAAGGCTGCAAGTAATACTGCTTGTGTTTTCTGTAGAACTACTGAAATGGCTCCTCATTTCTCAGCTTTGCAGGGAATCAAAATTAGTGACTAAAAGCTATATGTCAGTAATTATAATAAACAAAAAATAAAAGGATAAGTTCTTATTGGACGATATGTTTTTTCCTTAATCGATGTGGTTTCTGTGGAACTTTGAATGTTAGAATCTTTATTGCATATTATTTCCGTTTTCAAGGCACTCAATTTATAAATTAAACTCGTAAGTCGTAACCAAGGAATGGGTTTTGAATAACATTACTGGTTCTTAATTTGGATTTGCTTTAGACCTAATCTAGATAGTGTTGAGATTCACAAAGCAATTTTAAAAACTGATGTTAGGATCTTGTCGCTTCCTTAATCTGGTAATAAGCTGATGCGAGATTGATACGGAAAAATAATTGCAATGGAGAACAAGAAGAGAGAAAATTTGACAGTACGCATGTTAGGTGTAGACACCGTTAACCATTTTGGATATAAACTAAAGATAAAGATTTAGGTCAAATTCCTATGTTTTGCTATAACTCAAGCTTTTTCAAGCATAGTATTAGTGGAGCAACATTTATTTGAATGATTTACTATCTAGTGCTGAATTGAAAAAATTCTCATATAATTAATCATATTCTTTCAGAGACTTAATGTGCTTAAAGTCGTTTGCTGGTTCAAAAAAGAAAAAAAGGTGCTTGAAGTCGTTATACCCATAAATTCCATTACCTTTCTTTCAGATTTTATGTGCTTCTTGTTTTTTATTTTTTTGCTCTTTTTTTACGTTTTACTGGAAAAGCATGCCTAATGATGATTTATAATCTTTATATATTGACTTTTGTGATTCAACATGTGCGCCTTGGCAATGGTAACTGCACATTCATACAAAGTGGGTGATTGACATCTGATCGATTTTCTTAATATATCACTTTGATTATGAAGGATTTTGATTATGAAGGATATTATACATCTGAGAATAATTTTAGCATTTTCCGCTTCTGTGCTATTTGGACCAATATTTTGCAGCTTCTTTTCTGTTTTACCAGCTAAGTTTTGAACTCTTGTCTCAAACATTATATGTATGTATTAGGTTGTCGTAATGTGAGTTGACTTAAAATGATGTAGAAAATTTTACATTAGATAAAGTTGCGTTTAATAAGTAATATAAAATAAAGAGGAAGGACTTATAAATTTGAGTTTGAGGTTTTGAGTTAAAATATGGTATCCTTTTGTTATTCTTGCCTATTTCTCCCCTCCTTTGTTCCCTGGGCAGTTGCTTCTAATTATTAACAAATATGCTCACTCTAGGTACTGAAAGGAGTCAAGAAAGAAATGTGACTGAAAAAATGTAGCTCTTTACTGATAGAAAAGGCTTTCAATATGTAAGACTATCCTAATCATAATTAATGAATATCCTAATAATATCTAATGAATACAAGATAATCTTAAATCTCAATATAATAAATCATTAATCCTCCAGAATATATCCTAACGCTTCTCCTTAAACTTTTAGATTTGTAATAGCTTGTGTTGCTTGATCTGAAAAATAAATCTCAATATATCGTAATTTTGAGTGATTCTCGTAGGAGATGAATCAGTTAGTAGAGAACTGAAGAGTGATTTTCGGAGAACAAACTACTAGGTGGAGAACTTGGGAGTGATTCTCAAGGAACGAACCACTAGGCAGGAAACTTGGAAATGATTATCGGTGGAACGAATATTTAGAAGGAAGCCATTCTCGACAAAGATCATTTTAGTTTCCTTATCAAATATTGGTTCAACTTTCAACCTCTACAATATTACGCTGTCTAGTATAATCACGTGCGGTATGAGAAAATTTCTGCTCATGTTCGCTTGACAGTGAACGTAATACTTCACAATTTCATACGCTATAGGCAAAGGGAATCATCAAGTAATTAATCTTTATTACCAGCCCTGAAGTTGTATAATGGTGGGCAAGCCTTTTATGGCATGCTTGTTTTATTAATCATTTAACATGCATTCAATCTAGTGTATATGGAGAAATTAAATTTTAAGCTTATTTTTCAAGTGAAATTCTTGTAAAATATTGAATTAAATTAACTTAACGTCAGTAACACTTTCTTCCCCTTTAATTTGGTAAGCACGAAGGACATGATTACAAGGTATAATCAGTACTCTCATGCCATCAACCAACAAGACAGACCTTCTCTAGAACTGCAGGTATAATCAACTGAAGCATTTGCTGTGTGTGTGTGTGTGTGTGCTTGTTCTGATCAATTGCCATGGTGTTCTTTTTTTTTTTTTTTTTTTTGGGAGGGGTGGTGAAGTGCTTTTTGCCCTAATCAAACTTTTTGGGTAATTATGGCTTTCATTTCAGCTAGAGAATGGCAATAACTGCAAATTGAGTAAAGAAGTCGCCGAAAGAACGCAGCAGCTAAGGTATCTTTGAAAGCTAGATTCTTCAACGTGAGAAAGAGTAATTGAAAAATGAAGTTCGAATGAAATTGGCTTTCATGCGTGTAAATCTGTGTATGCGTCTGTTGAGCAGGCGCATGAAAGGCGAAGATCTTCAAGGACTCAACCTACAAGAGTTGCAGCAACTGGAGAAACTCCTGGAAAAAGGACTCGGCCGCGTCATTGATGCGAAGGTACGCAGTACACACATGACCTCGCCATATTAATCTAGTTTGGGGTTAAAATCTATCTATAGACTAGCTGATGAACGACACTGTAACTTCTGCATCAATTCAGGAAAATCGGCTCATGAGCGAGATCACCGCGCTTCAGAAAAAGGTTTGTTGAATGTTCTTCAATGTACGTTTCATAGAATTAAAAACGCATTATCTATCTATCTATATAGCTTTTGAAGTTGATGATCAAATTGAGCATGGCTCATGATATTCTGTGAAATATTCCTGGAGCCAAAGGGCTTATTTCCACGTGCCTAAATTTACAACTTGGACATCCCACATCCTTAACCAAATTTATTTGCTTTTACGTGTAACTACACTGTCTTGGTGGGCAATATGCGAATCAAGGGAATGGAATTGGAAGAAGAGAACAAGAAGCTGAAGCAGAAGGTAAATGAATTAATTACAAAGTAACTAGCTCTAGGAACACTTTTATTTAGGGGGTGTGTGTGTGTGTGTGTTCAAAATTACCCGTACAAATAATTTGATGAAGTTAATGATGGCACGTAGACGGGGATGCTGTGTAGAGGAATAACGCAAGTGCCGGCGGTGGAGTCATCAGATATTGGGATTCAAGAGGAAGGCATCTCATCTGATTCAATGACCAACGTTTACAGCTGCAGCAGTGGCCCTCCTCTTGACGACGATTCTTCGGATACTTCGCTCAAGTTAGGGTAATCTCTCTCTCTCTAAATAGAAAAGTATTCTTTGGAAAGGAAATAAGAAACACATATATCTCATTTCTCTGTACATTTTTTATTTTCTCTCTAGAAAATATTTTGTCATGTATCGAACATTACCTAAGTATCTATATTTAACAACCAAGTCTCCGATTTGGCACAGGTTGCCCTACTCAAGCTGCAATGGAAAGCTGTGACTGTTAATAATACTTACAATAACAAGGTTTTTCCCTAGCTAGTTATTATCTTTGTCTAATTTTCTTAGTAATATAAACTATGCATGTTATGCTTGTAGTTCAATTATGTGAACGAGCATGATGTAATTTGAATGAATGGCGATAAGAAAATGAGGGATCAATTCTTGTGCGGTCGGAGCAAACTATACTGTTTGTGGTCCGAGAAAAGTTTTGACAGGTCCCTGTGTATTTATGTGTTATGCATACACGTTATGATGCTGGTCCCTATGACATTGGATGACCTGTGCATCCATCAAAGGGTCAGAACAAGGGAAATGACAAACATGTTTCTGAAGTATATAAGTGACAATTAAGTATCACTAAATGTGATAGTATATGTAAGCGATATTTTGATTTTTAATGAAATGACATTTGTTATCAGTAACTATCATAGGAAATAATTATTTTAATTTGGTTGTATTATTGACTAAAAAACATAATATAAAATAATTACTTATCTATGCAAATTTGTGATTTATAAACGAAATAAAAAATGATTACTTTCTTTTTGAAAATGATTTTCTTTATGAGAACAATTATTTTTTTTCTTGAAAAAATGATAATAAAATTTTCTCTAAATTATGTAAATGATAATTTAATTTTTTAAAATGTTATAACATCAATGAAGTTTGCGGGGGTTTTTTTGTGAATAATTTTTTTAGAGAAGATTATTTTATTTTTATTGATAAATTATAATTTTTTGTTCAATTCTTATGATCTTTTGAAGAAAAGTTGTAAATGGATTTATCATTTTAAAAACTTGTTTTTTTATAATAAATTACACTTGAGAAGTTATAATTTTTTGTTCAAGTCTTGTAAGTTACAGAATAAAATAAAAGTTATGATTGATGTTTGTTTTTCAATAATAGAAGTTACATTGAATAAATTATGATTTTTTGTTCATTTTTGTGATTCATAAAAAAGGTTATGATTTTTTAAATAAAAGTTGTGATTAGTTTTGTTATTTTTAATAAAGTTAAAATAATTTTTTTTAAAAAAAAAAGTTATTGATAAAAAGGCCTTTAAAGATTTCATTAGTATTATGATATTTTAAAAGATCATCTTGTCATTTACCTAATGTAAAGAAATTTTATTGTCATTTTTTTTCAGGTAAACAAAAGAGGTGAAAACCCATGAAAATAATTACTTTAGTTGCACTGATACAAAAAATTGCAGGGAAAAAAGTAATTATATTATATTATATTTTAATTAATAATCTAAACAAAGTAATCATTTCTTATAATAGTTATCAAAGACAAACAACATTGAAGAAATGAAATAATCATTTACATTTTTACTTTTTTTTTTTCCATTTTCTCTTAGAACCTGTAGCATAAATCGCCTGTGTGTGTGTGTGTGTGTGTGATAGGTGTATGTTTTCAACTTGGGTTATGTAACAATGTTTTCGCTACATGTGCACTCAGCCCATGATTTGTTCATGTGTATGGTTTTCTTTCTGTATTTCGACTTGAATATTTGTTTTCATCTTATGATTTCATAGAGAAGCATGAAGAGTTGTTAATTTGAGCCGAAGCTTGAAAAAACTTAGGATTAGATGTGCTACTTTAATATGTAAAATGATAAATTAAGCTTAAAATGACTTGTCCTTTTACTCCTTAAAATAAAAGGGTCAATCATTTTAAGTCCTTATACATACATACATATATACATACATTAATTTTAACATGAAAAAAAAATTAGATACTACTAAGTTTAAAACCTCAGCTTCATTTCATTCGGTTATCAAGTATGTTCTCATTCCTTCTTCCTTCAATTGATCCTTCAGACTTCAACCTAAGGTGAATGATCAAATTATATTATTATTGATGACAATAAAGGTTATTAAGATTTAGTTGATGATTTTGTGATGTTGTTATTTTTATTAGACTTAAATTTTTTATTATGTAGATTATCTTAAATTTATTTTTCTAAACTTAATGTCATGTGTAATAATTATTTTATAATTTTAATATATTTTTAAAATTTTTAAATTAAAAATGAAAAAAATAGGATCAAGGCTTATAGGACTGGCTCTTTAACTCTAAGGGTCATGACTAGGCTGGTCAAAATTTAATTTTAAGGTGTAATTGAACTTAATAGGGCCAGTTTGTATAAATTTGCTCAGTTCTAATTGATAGTTTTAGAAGCATGCAATTCTCATCGAGTGAATGCGTACATGAATACAGGTTAATTACAAGCATGTATATCAGTACATTGACGTAAACGACGATATTTTGAGAGAGAACGAAAGAAATGAACTCACATTTTGATATTCTTAAGATTTTAAATACTTAAATGTTTGGAAATGAATAGCAAGAAATTAAACATAAAATTGAATACTAGAACAAATTATTCTTATCTTTTTATTATTTTAATTACAATGACATTTCTTTTATCTTAAATTTATAATCCAATTTACTAGTATCGATGACTCAATGCATCATTAGGAATTACGAATTTATTATATTTATAATCCTCTCTGTGTGTGTGTGTGTATAAAAGAATGCGAGGAGGGGAAATAAATAGGATGACCAGATTGTTTTTTTTCAAAAGATAATACATTCCTTTGACGCAAAAAGAAAAAAAAAAGATAATACATTCCCATTTCATCACTTATAGACCTTTCTTCTTTTTTTTGGGCGACCACAAAGGGCAATGCCCTGATAAAAGAAATTAAAAAATCACAAAGCTAGGATATAGAAAAAATTTAAAATACTTATTTTCAATTAAATTGAGCCTTGTATATCATTTATAAATTATTTATTCTATAATAAATTTTTATTATTAATATTATTAATACATCAAAATTTACTTGTTTTAATTTAAATGAATAAAAATATATTAAGTACATAAGACTAAGTATATAAATTTTGCCCATTTAATTTCTACCCAACTCATGTCCATCTCACCATTTGAACCAATATTTTAAAAATTGGACAATAAACCAAAAAGGTTAGCGGTGACAATTCTTATGATTTAATCCATTAGATTTGTAATCAAATTGATGACATAATAATTAAATAAAAATATATATATATATATATATATATCATTAAAAACATTGACATCATTATTCTCAGTTTAGAGTTGTTCAGTTTCATTCATAACATAGGCTTTAATTTCATTATTATTTTTTCATGTCTTTTAAAGGAAATAAATTTTCAATTTTCTTTATAGTTTAATTTAAATAATGCTAATAAACAAATTATATATTCAAAGTTTTACTATAACAATTCAAAACGAAGTTGACATTAATATTTTTCAATTGAATATAAAAATTTATTACTAAAATAATAGTTAAGAGAAAAAAAATCCAAAACAGTCTAACCATTCTAATTTCAAAGTTAATTCCAATTCTGTCAAAACTAAAAACTGTCCAAAGCAATCCAATCCTAAAAACTTGTTAATGAGTCAAATTGAGATGCGTTTGTACATAGGAGGTGAGCAAATTAATTTGGGCCTTGAAACACTAAGGGTATATTTGGTTTAAGAGGAGGGGAGGGGAGCTCCTCCCAATTTGGTGGGGAGGCTTTGGAGGGGAGGGAAGGAAAAATTTTAAAGGAGGGAAGGAGAGGGGAGGGCTCCCTTACTCCTAACTAAATGAGGGGAGTAGAGGGAAGGGGAGGCCATTCTCCTCCCCTCCCCCCCAATCAAACACACCCTAAGAGCTCCCTCCCTCCCTCCATCCCTCCCTCTCTCTGTGCGCACTCATGTATCGCTATTAGAGAGCCTCCACAACACAACGCATTGTTGTGTAAAATTAAGAAATAATATAATTTTTACAATTATCGATTTAATCTTTGAATATTGACTCAATACAATTAATGTAGTTCAATAATGGGGGCAAGGGAGTGCCAAATAATTTAAGAAAAAAAATTAATATTTTAAAAATAATAATTGTGATAGGACTAAAATTATAATAACATAAATAAATTAATAATTATTTTTTTAAACATGATATTGAACAGGTTAATGCGGTCTCTTATCGTAAATATACTTTTTGTATTTTATTTAAATCATTAAAATATTATTTATTTAACAAACTTTTGTGTCCAAATATATTTTATTTAGTCAAGTGGGTGTAAAATAACAAATGTAGGGGGTGTAAAGTTGTAAAATAATTTGTAATTTTTTCAAAGTGAGGAAGTGTATTAACACCACCTCGACATAATGTGGGTTTCACCACTAAGCCAATTCTAATAGTTTATATAGTTTAAAAATAAAAAAATTAATTTTTTAATCATTTAACTTTTAATTTATTTGTAATTCAGTTCCTCATGACTCGTTGAGACTCAATCCTTTAACTTTTGACCCGCTTAGGACTCAGTCTTTTAACTTTTAATTCATTTATGATGCAACCCCTCAACTTTTGTTGGCTCTCTTTTTTTTATGTTAGCTTAAATCACATTTCAAAGAGCAAGAAAAGGATATTTTAGAGCAATATATCAGCATTTCTTTTTTCATTTTTATTTGATAAAGATAATTTTTTTAAAAATTTTAAAAATAAGGATCGAATTATAAGTGAGTCAAAAATTGAGAAAATGAGTTGCAGTGAATCAAAAGTTGAGAGATTAAATTTTAATGAGTTATAATTAAAAGATTGAGTTACAAGTGAGTTAAAAGTTAAATGATTAAAAAATTAATTTTTCCTTTAAAAATTATAGGGGTTAGGAACTAAATTGTATGGAATCAAAACATTATAAAAACTATATTATTTCGAGTCAATAAAACTATAAAGATTGAGATATTTTGATTTTAAAATTTATGAACTAAATCAATAATTAAAAAAAAATTTAACGACCAAAAATTATATTTTTTCTATAATTAATGTTAATATTAATACACGTACGTTTGTGTTTGTGTGTGTGTGTGTAAAAATAGCATAAAATTTATTGCAGATTGTAAAGCATGTGACCACGTTTTTCTCTTTACCCCACCACATTAAATGAAGAGGCCCCCATTTGGAACTGGCACCTATGTATGTATACGTAAAACTCTCAGGATCAAAGATACCACAAATAACAAATCCCTACACCTACAGTCAGTGCCAGTATCTATATATGTATATGTAGAACTCTCAATATCAAAAATGCCACAAATACTAAGTCCGTACCCTTATAATTAGTGCTAGCAAAATTTTCAAGCTTCAAATGAGGTGATATATACAAGTCATTACTATAGCTAGAGGTAGTCTTATTTCAAGCCTCAAAGTTGTGTGCAATATTCCCAAACAAAATTTGGATGTTATACCACTTGTTAAAAATGAGAAGCAATCTCTTGAAAATGAGGGGAGGA